AAAGACTAATTTTCAAAAATTATTTCATAAATTTTTGGTGCTACTTTAAATAGATAGATTTGTTTTGTTTGTTTGAATTTCGCGCAAAGCTACACGAGGGCTATCTGCGCTAGTCGTCCCTAATTTAGCAGTGTAAGACTAGAGGGAAGGCAGCTAGTCATCACCAACCACCGCCAACTCTTGGGCTACTCTTTTTCCAACGAATAGTGGGATTGACCATCACATTATAACACCCCCACGGCTAAAACCCGCGACCCTCAGATTGCGAGTCGAGCGCCCTAACCACCTGGCCATGCCGGGCCAAATAGATAGAGATAAAAATGTTTGTTTGTTCGTTTTGTTTTGTTTTGTTTTTTGTTTTTTTTAGATTTCGCGCAAAGCTACACGAGGGCTATCTGCGCTAGCCGTCCCTAATTTAGCAGTGCAAGACTAGAGGGAAGGCAGCTAGTCATCATCACCCACCGTCCACTCTTGGGCTACTCTTTTACCAACGAATAGTGGGATTGACCGTCACTTTATCACGCCCCCACGGCTGAAAGGGCGAGCATGTTTGTGGGACGGGGAGATAAGAATGTAGAAATAACAGTAGATGAATATACTTACTTGGAATTGTGCAACGGGAAAAACCGTTACTAGGAATCACAGAAAGGATAATAATGTAAGAAGAAGGTATATTTTGTATTATATTGTTAAAGATTATGAAAATAAATTGCTTTTCTGTAAAAAAAATGAGAAAGAGTGTAATTTAAATAAAGTTTTAATCAAAAAGAAAAAATTATAAAGGAATAGAAAGGAAAGGAAAGTATGTTTATAAGTTCAAACTAATTTGTTTTTTAGTGTATTTAATTTATATACAGGTTATATTTTAAGTATGCAAATTTTGAGAAGTATGTTTCATTTAGATTATTTATGTTTAGTTGAAAAGTAGAGTTTGAATGTTTGTATTATAGATTATTTATAAAATTACATCTTTGAAGTCATGAAACTGGTACAAAATAACAAAAAATAGCTTAAAGATTGTACTTTTGTTATTTGTATAAATGAAACAAATCTAAAGATTTATAAAGATTTATATTTATAAAATTACATCTTTGAAGTCATGAAACTGGTAGAAAATAACAAAAAATAGCTTAAAGATTGTACTTTTGTTATTTGTATAAATGAAACAAATCTAAAGAATAAAAATTCAAAGTTAATGTATGTTGCTACATTTTGTAAATATTAACAATCTTACACTTAAAAATTAATAAATATTTAATGATTTTATTGTTAGGTACAAAGTTTAAACAAAAATTAGTCTTAATTGTAGCCAAGTGTTTCTCTGTTAAGACTATTTAATGAACTAAATAGCACAAGTATATGTTGAAAGCTCTATGTTAAACGTATCGTTAAAATAAAGTACTTCAAAATAAGTAAACGTTAAGAATTCCAGTCTTAAGCCTAATATTTGAATGCAATAAATCGGGCTTAGCAAAACCTGAAAAATGTTTTTTTTTTAAACTTAGTTTGAGTAAAACAACTAAGAATTAATAAAAGCTACAAACTTCAACGTACAACGTATCGTTTGAACAAGGTTATTATATAAGATTATTAGAAGTTTAAAATATGCGTTTTAGGCGACTAATTGAAATTAGTAAGCTTAATTCTAATAGTAGTTAGCTTTTTCAGTATCTATTCTGTAGTTTGATCAAGTTATCTCAGGCTTAACAGAAATTAAATGCTTCAATATTGTGCCTGTTATTTCAACAAAGTATCTCAAAAGAGGTCAAATTTAAGGACTTCAATACTAAGTCTATCGTTTGATCAAAGCTTATGGAAGACAGTACAAGTACATTTTGTGTTAAGTCGATCATGAACAAAACAAGTGCATTAGAATGAGTTAACTTGCTAGATGAACAAGACTGCTGAAAGCTATAATTAAGTTATTCGCTCAGGAAAGAATTTCTTTGAAATAATCCATATAAATTTAATAAATTAAACTTTTTCTTATTAATGCATTAAGGTTCATATTACTATAGCAGGGAAAATTCTAATTCAAGAGTTCCTTGAGGAAATGCTAATATGGCCCCTTTTCGTTTTTAACGTCACTGCAGCTGTCATCCATAATACCCGAGCTATGTCTATTGTCAGTAACGTCAAGCTGTTTATTGTCAGGAATGTCAAGATACCTAATGACAGGATCATTAGCTTGCATCCAACAAAAATACTTGGTGAGAATTAAAAAGCGTGAGTTTTTATATGAAGTTGCATCTCGAAAAGTACAACACGAGGCCCAATGGGCTACATGGACTCCAAATCAGTAGAGAGTTTATTGGCGTCCACTATACTGACCAATTTTCAACACGACAGCTTATCGTGACCAGTTCAGAATGGTTTTTATCTATGTTTATCTCCATTTGCACACAAATAACTGAATCTGAAAAGCTCAATGTTTGAGCTCACCAGGATATGTCTAACACCATATGGCTAGTTGATAACTGCTAATCTTTCTAGCCGTGTGAGCAGTTAAGTGTTGGTCTTCTATGCAAGCTGTACTAGTTGGCCATCGTTGAAAGTAGAGTTTAATAGAAATGAATAAAAATTAAATTGAAAATAAATTTCAAGTTAACTAGAAAATGCGAATTTGTTACTTGATCATAACTAGCATTTGGAGATGGAGCTCAGGATTTAATTTTAACTCCAAGTGACCAGCTGGTTATTGGTCATCTATTTGGTCAATACTAAGTAGGATAAATTAGTTCGATGTTAAACTCCTCTAAAACATTTCTCTAACCTCAAATCACCAGCTGAATGTTGGTCACTTCTAGAACTAGTGACTAGAAAAGAACAGTTTGGTTTTTGCCCTTATATATAGAAAAGATAAATGATGGTCGCTTATATGGGCACAATCAACTGAAAAAATCTGTTTAGAGTTAGACATATCTACCAATATATTTTCACTTTAACTTACTCAATTTGAATATTCTCTATAGACTACTTTCTATGACTGAGTTTTCTACTACCCTTCTCGATAACTTCACCTGAACCCCGAGTGTCTAGTGATTGTTCTTCAAAGACTTTCCTGTTAAGATTGTTCAAGTCGTAATGTTTAGTCCTTTCCATCAGAACTTATTAAGTAAACCCCCTTTCTTCTCTTACACTCTTTTATTCAACTTCGAATAGGTTCCAACACAATCGTCACTTTTCATCAATTCAGAATTTAATACTTCAGTCTATAAATCTAAAATGTATTGCATTTCACCACCCTGAATGACAGAAATGACAGACTTATAAGATGAACATATTTTATACTTCCATACTGAATACAGTAGCTGTCAAGTCAGCCTAATGACCTGACTGCGGCCGTTCCTCAATAGCTTAGAATACGTGAAGTTAAGTGGTGTTAGTGAAGCGGTAAGGTTGTGGAAACATCACTATTTTTCAGAGCCTCAACATACAGGTTAATTGCGGTTAGCGGCAGTCTTGAGCTTCACTGTGAAACTTGGTGTATAATGTGGGTTATAAATCATCTCTTGTGGGATGATTATTAAAATAACTACCTTAATATAAAGTCATAAAAGCAACGCGCTTGAAGGTTTCAGTGAAATAATTCAACTAGGAATTGCTTCACTCTGATCCGCTCTTTGTTATTTTACAGACTAAGCGTTGACATTTTGAATAATCTTTATACTATCAATCATTATCGTATCAACAGTTGAGGATTTGAATCTCGCTAAAATCGAATAATTATAGTTAGTAAGCGCGAAATAACATTCAGTAACTGGGGAGTTTGTTTGTTTTGAATTTCGCGCAAAGCTACAGGAGGGATATCTGCGCTAGCCGTCCCTAATTTAGAGGGAAGGCAGCTAGTCATCACCACCCACCGCCATCTCTTGGGCTACTCTTTTACCAACGAATAGTTCAGACTATTCAGATTCTCTTTCCGCATCTAACTATTCAGCTTCGTACACTGATTGTCCAGATTCTCTACAACTGAGTATTTTGGTTATTCACACTAACGGGTTGTTTGTTTTACACATAGCCTAACATTCTGTATCTCTATACCCGACTCTTCTATTTCTTTATAATGAGTTGTTTTTTTACTACTACTTACACTTCTTCTTCAATACACTTGACTATCATATTGTCTATACCCGATTTTTTTATTTTATACACTTACCTGTTCTTTTTCTATTTTCTCTACACTTAGATGTCTGATTACCTCGATCGACTGATTGTTCTGTTTATTTACACTGTTATTCATCTCCTTCACAAATGACTGTTTTGTTTCCGTTTAAATAACTCTTCAGGTCTGATTACCTCGATCGACTGATTGTTCTGTTTATTTACACTGTTATTCAACTCCTTCACAAATGACTGTTTTGTTTCCGTTTAAATAACTCTTCAGGTCTGATTACCTCGATCGACTGATTGTTCTGTTTATTTACACTGTTTTTCAACTCCTTCACAAATGACTGTTTTGTTTCCGTTTAAATAACTCTTCAGGTCTGATTACCTAGATCGACTGATTGTTCTGTTTATTTACACTGTTATTCATCTCCTTCACAAATGACTGTTTTGTTTCCGTTTAAATAACTCTTCAGTTCTTCACACTTGTCTTTCTGTCTTTGTATATGTCGCTGCTAGGTTTTGGTTTTATATTCCTGACATTTCCGTTTCTCTAAACTTACTGTATCTATATCTGATACTTATGTATTTCGGCATTCCAGTTATATTCGTATTATATAGAATTGTCTACATCTGTTCTTATATATCTGATTTTTTGCCTCTCGGCATCAGTTTGTGCCATAATAGCCTTTTATAGTTTTCTTTCTGTAAATTCACTTTTATGCTTTCGGTGCCTGATAAAAACAATAGCGATTCTTACTAAAACTTATGATGTATTATTTGGGAAAGCATTGCTCTCTTGAATAGTGATTTAAAATGTCTGTCTTTTTATTATTTGTCCAAGTGAACATATTTTAACGCAAAAACATTTTATTGAATTTATTTTACTTTAGGAATACACCGTAGGTCAATTGGCTCCAATGCAGTGGACTGATGCCATGGAAGCTAACTTTACTGGAAATGAAACATTACCCTGGCTTCCTGTCCATCCCAACTTTCGAGATCACAACGTAAACTCTCAGTCCTATAGCCTTGCTATCATTCGACGCCTAGTGGCTATGAGAGAAAGCTCGCCTTCTTTCTGGATGAATATGATTCTTGATGACGAGAACGAGGCTAGGCGCCCTTCTTTCATCCTTCATTACGTTGACCATAGCATGATAGCCCTGGAAAGGTATTACCCTCGAAAAAAGCGATTTCTGATTTGTGCTAATTTTAGCGAAAAGAATGTTACGAAAGACTTTTCTGAGTTTTTCTATCAGGCAGATGTGATCTTATCAACATCTAGTAAGACCGGAACCTTGCGTCTTCGACAGATCTTTCTGGAACCTGGAGAAGCGTTTGTTGCAGAGCTCATTGGATAAGGTGTTCCATACAGACGGACTTACTCAAGTTGTATAATACTATGATTCGATCAGAATACGTGAAGGAGGGCTTCCTTCCGCGAACTTGAGTCCATGAAAGCTGGTATTATTTTTACATTGTGCTTTGTGATTTTGGGATATAACTAAAATAAAAAAATAAAAAAGCTATGGAAGCTATGTGTTTGCTAATTATTGTTTAGAAGGTTATTAAATTTCAGTTGGTCAATTAGAAATTAATAAAACATAAATTTTACGTAATTGAAAATAGCGAAGATGAACCCACAACGATTTGAAAATGTAGCTATTGAGTCGCATACCTGATAATCGGAACATGTTATCGGGTGCTAATCCTGGCTTACAATCACGGAATCGACGTTATTTACAGTCGAAAATATTGATAACAAGAAGAGTATCCAACTGGTAAAACAACACAATCTAATCATCTGCAAAAACTTAACAACAATATATTAATTTAGGCTTCATCCGTCACGTTTAGTCCTCATATATGTAGGTAGCTTGTCATACATCGCTGTGTTAACGTTTAGTTCTGATCTATATAGGTAGTTTGTCATCCATCACTGTGTTAACGTTTAGTTCTGATCGATCTAGGTAGTTTGTCATCCGTCACGTTTAGTTAACGTTTAGTCCTCATATATGTAGGTAGCTTGTCATCCATCGCTGTATTAACGTTTAGTTCTGATCTATATAGGTAGTTTGTCATCCATCACTGT